AAAATAAAAAAATGAGATGCTGGAAGATCTGACAATTGGAAGAAGAAAAGTATATTCTTTGAGCTTCCATATTGGAAGAGTGTGTTATTGAGACATAATTTGGACGTAACGCACATTGAAAAGAATATTAGTGAAAGTGTGCTTGGAACTTTGTTAGATATTGAAGGAAAAACAAAGGACACACTAAAATCACGGCTGGACATACAAGAGATGAGAATGAAAAAGTCCCTCCATCCAATAAAAAGTGGGGATAAGTATATACTTCCTCCGACAAGTTATACAATGTCTAAAATGGAAAAGATTCAGTTTTGTAACCTCATCAAAGAAGTCAAGTTTCCTGATGCTTATTCGTCTAACATTAGTCGTTGTGTTAAGGAAGCTAGACTTTTAGTACTTAAAACTCATGATCATCATGTTCTTTTTCAACGTATCATTCCACTTATCATCAAAGAAATTTTTCCAAAGGATGCTTATGATCCGTTAATTGAATTGTCATTATTCTTTACTGATTTGTGTGCTAAGGAGTTACATGTAGAGAAGTTAGATCAACTAGATAAAAGTATACGAATAACAATTTGTAAGTTAGAGCGTGTATTCCTGCCAACCTTTTTTGATGTTATGATTCACTTGGCAATTCATTTGGCAAATGAGGCAAAGTTAGCTGGTCCCGTTCAATACCGATGGATGTATTACATCGAGAGGTTAGATTCTTATTATTGTGAAGTATTTTTTTTATTAAAATTTGTTACAAAATTGATATATATTTACAAATAGATATTTGCGCACATTAAAAAAATATGTACGCAATAAATATCGTCTGTAAGGAGCAATTGCTGAGGGCCATCTTGCAGAGGATTGCATGACATTCTGTAGCAAATATTTGCCAGATATAGAGACAAAGCAGAATCGTCTGGATCGAAACTTTGATTCTTCCAACAAAGATTCCAATGTGTTATCTATATTTAAATGTTGTGGTAAGCCATTATCAGGAGGTTCTTGGGAAAATATGAGTGATCTTAAAATAAAGCAAGCTCATTTTTACATCCTCCAAAATTGTGAGGAAGTTCGTCCTTAGATTGAGTAAGACACCTTTTACTTATTTTACTTTTTTTTTAAAATGAACCTATCCATGACTATAATCCAATATTTTCTTCTTCTATTTTTTTTATGAAAAAAATTATAATTCATAGGGAACATCTAGAAATATTAACAAAAGAAAACAATAAAAATGTTTTTAAGAGGCACAAAGAGGAATTTTCTTTATGGTTTGAAGAAAAGGTAAATTATATTATTTTATGTTAATTTATCTTTATTCAAAAGAATCTATAAATCTTACTTTCTAAGTAGTATTAGTGTTTGTTGTTGAAATATTATAGGTGGTACAATTAAAAGAGAATGGTGATGATCGAATTACCCATGAATTATTTGCTTTGACAAGACTCCCAGATTCTCGTGTTTATAGTCATAATAGTTATACCTTGAATGGTTTTAGATTTCGTACAAAGGAACTTATTAAAATTTGTTACAAAATTGATATATATTTACAAATAGATATTTGCGCACATTAAAAAATTATGTACGCAATAAATATCATCCAGAAGGAGCAATTGCTGAGGGCCATCTTGCAGAGGATTGCATGACATTCTGTAGCAAATATTTGCCAGATATAGAGACAAAGCAGAATCGTCTGGATCGAAACTTTGATTCTTCCAACAAAGATTCCAATGTGTTATCTATATTTAAATGTTGTGGTAAGCCATTATCAGGAGGTTCTTGGGAAAATATGAGTGATCTTAAAATAAAGCAAGCTCATTTTTACATCCTCCAAAATTGTGAGGAAGTTCGTCCTTGGATTGAGTAAGACACCTTTTACTTATTTTACTTTTTTTAAAAAATGAACCTATCCATGACTATAATCTAATATTTTCTTCTTCTATTTTTTTTATGAAAAAATTTATAATTCATAGGGAACATCTAGAAATATTAACAAAAGAAAACAATAAAAATGTTTTCAAGAGGCACAAGGAGGAATTTTCTTTATGGTTTGAAGAAAAGGTAAATTATATTATTTTATGTTAATTTATCTTTATTCAGAAGAATCTATAAAACTTACTTTCTAAGTAGTATTAATGTTTGTTGTTGAAATATTATAGGTGGTACAATTAAAAGAGAATGGTGATGATCGAATTACCGATGAATTATTTGCTTTGGCAAGACTCCCAGATTCTCGTGTTTATAGTCATAATGGTTATACCTTGAATGGTTTTAGATTTCGTACAAAGGAATCTGAATTATTTTTAAAAACACAAAACAGTGATGTGGTAGTAAAGAGTGATGAGCATACATAAAATGTTGATTATGATGGAAGAATTAGAAAGATTTTAGAGATATCATACATAGGTGGTAATTCAGTCATATTATTTCAACGGGACTGGTTTGAAGTTCCACCCCAAGGTCGAAGTCAAAGTAGAGGTTACAAAAGAGATGAATATGGATTTGTATGTGTAGATGTGACACAGATTCATTACACAAATGATCTATTTATTTTAGGCTCACAAGCTCAATCTGTGTATATTATCTTAAACATGGTCAAAATGAAAAATGGCATGCAGTGGTAAGGGTAAGACCACGAAATTTGTATGATGTACCCGAGCAAGAAAGTGAACCAGAGCCATATCAACTAATTGACTTGGTTGAAAGAGGAGAAACAAGTCTTCAAGTAGAATCGGATAATGATAATGTTACAATACAAAGAGAAGACATTGATGGAGTGAGTGTTGAAGCACCTTCTCTCAATAATGAGGAAGAAATAGACCTAGAAATTATTGATGAATCTGATGGTGAAAATGGAGATAACTTCAATAAATTTTCATTAGATGGAGAATATCATTCTGAAGATGAACATGAAGTTGACAAAGATGATGATTGGTTGTGATTTTCAGTTAGTGCACAAGACAATTTTACTTATTACAATCACTTCTTTTAAAAGATTTAGCTCCTCTCATCTACATGCATCTTAATCGTTATGCTTGGTGTTAAAAATAATGTTATCTGAATTATTTTTTGGACATCTGGGGTTGCAAAATTTTGCTGATTCTTTTTTTTTTGTCTATAATTACTTCATGAAAATTGTAAGATTATGATAGTTTATGTTGATGTGCTCAATTATTTCTATTAGTCAACCAAGATAACTATAACATGAAACTAACCCCTTTGGTTGGTTGTTTATTGTGCCAACGACGCGTAAACAACTTGTTAATATTTTATCTTTGCATTATAATTTGAATTATTTCTCTCAATTTCTAAGCATTATTTTGTCTACTTTCTAACATTTCTTTTATTTATATTCTAGATTTCAATAGTACATTTCTTTTTAACATGTGTTTCAGTTTATCATGATGACAAATGTGCCTGTTTCTGAGAGTATAGGAACTACTAATGTAATTTCGCATCCCCAATCAGGTAAATTAATCATTCACTAAATATTATCTTTTTAATTCTTTTTGGCTTTTATATATTATGCTTATTGTAGATCTAAATACTTTCTTATATTTTTTAGGACAAAAAAGAAAGGGGAGGGGAAAAACAACAGGGCTTTCAATTCAAAAGAAACGTAAAAATATAAATGGCAAGTTAAGTGTGATTATTCCACCGGATCAAAGAGTTGCAGTAGGTCCTGGAGCTAACGATTTTGTTACCGAGATTTCTGTGAAAAAATTTCAGCATGCTAGGCATGCTGTCAAGAATTGGAAGAATGTTTCTGATCTAGCAAAAGATAGAATCATTACGCATATACTGGTAATTTACTTCATTTCTCCTTAAAAATCTGATCTAGCTTATAAAAAGTAACATCATAATAGCTGATAAGTGTTTGTTCAAATAAGACTAATCTAATTTTATTGTTTAATTTTAAAATTAGGTGTAGAGTATAAATGTTGATAGCTTAGACAGAGTAATTTTTTGTATTTTCGAGCATATCATCAAACTAACTTGATTTAGTTCGTTAGTATGTATTTCACTAGAGTGACAACCCTATTTCTTAGGAGAAGAAAAAAGGGTTGATTCTTTTTAATCTTTACCTGAATTTAATTGTAAGAGTAAAATATCTTTTGGATAGAAAGCTTCTAGTAATTATTGCAGAAGAAAGTTGTGAAACATGAGACTTTATGAACTTTAATTTTTTATTAGCCATTGATAAGAAAAGACATACAACACTTTTTTATCTACTAGAAGTGATCAAATTACTTGTCGAAATTGTTTGACATATTGAAACAATTGCTAAATAATGAGAACTTTTGAACTTAGAAATAAGATGAATCTTAATTGATGAAGCTCGCAATATAACCACAGACCAATAATCTGGAAAAAAAAAACCAATTCAAACATTTGTATTTTTTTTATATTGCACCACACTCCAATCTTTACTGTCCAGTTAAGTAGTATTGAAAATTTAAACTTGCTATACTATCTAATGCTCAGTTTTCTTCTCATGTTGAACAATTGTTGTCTAGTTCTTTTGTCTAAATATTATAGTCTCAATCATATAAGATAACTGTCCAACAAGTCAAGAATTATTTTAACTCTAGTTGTGCTAAGTCTACTTTTTGCTTATATTTATTTGTCAATGACAATTGATTTCCTAACTGTGTTGTTGTTATAAGCTGTAGATATCTTCTAATAAACAAATTTGGGGACAAGTTACTATGACCTTGATATTTCTCTTCATTCTTACATGAATTCACTGTATTAATCTGATTATTTTTATGGTTGTTATCCTTCTATTAGCAACTTACATATATGTTTCCTATTTTTTTCAAGAATCAAATAATAATTATTTCATTTTTTAATTAGTCATATACAATCAAAGTTCTATTTCAAGTAAGTTCACTTAAATTTTGTTGTGAGCAGGACACCTTCCAACTACCCGACACACAACACGTTCGGGATACTATCTTGGATCAAGCTAATAAACTGTATCGATATTGAACATGCCAGCAGAAGTTAATGAAGTTGAATGGAAATTCTTGGTAGAGTATTTCAGCTCAGATTCTTTTCAGGTACGTAATTAGGAGTACATCAAAATTAAATGAATTTAACAATATTATTATTTACTTTATTGGTTTTATTGTTCTAATTAAATTTATGACACTTAAAAATTCAAATTTAATGCAGAAAATGAGTGAAAGAAATAAAGCTAATAAAGCAAAACAAGAAATACCTCATATTTGTGGAAGAAAATCCTTCCGAGCAATATCTTTTGAAAAGGTGATGAGATATTTCTTTATTTTTGTGAACTTCAATCATTCTTCATTCAACTTCATAATTTGATTTCTTTTGTTAGAGAGACACAAACACTAGAAAAGAGCCAAATTTTTTGAAACTTTGGGAGTTGACTCACATGAAGAACGGACATTGGGTTAATGATGTATCTTCTGAACTGAATGTACATGCATAACTCTTATCTTTATTTTTAGAGCATAAAATTATTAAAGCATTATATTAAAAGCGTAAGTTTGTATTACTCTTTTGTAGGATAGGGTGAAGGAAATTGTTGCTGATCAAATTCAAGAAAATGAAGAGGAAATTGATGCAGATCTTATTGCCAATGCAGCATTTGTGAGAATTATGGGAGAAAAGTCGAGATATTATCGTGGTCAAAGCTCAGGAATTAAGCCAAGCAGGAGATCTATGAATGAAATTCAAGAGCAACTACAAGCACGACAAAAAGAGACAGAAGAAGAACGTCGTAAACGTGAGAGTGTTGAAGACAGGCTAATTGAAGTTCAAAAAAAACTTGAAGAGGAGCAAGAAAATCGAGAAGTTATGGAAACTCGTGTAGTGCGCGATCAAAAAATGGTAAAAGAGGGCATAAAGGCACTGATATCCCATATGCAAATTTCTAAGGTACAAGCGTTAATGATCAATTTCTTGCTTTTGATCCTAAGAGTATTTTGATTATGCTATTCTTAAAAAACTTGTCCTAGTTATTTTGATGTTATAACATAGTTTCTCTTTATTAGATCAATCATTTTTCAATTCCTTATATTTGCTATGCTTAACTAAGTGGTCTTCCGTCTGCAATTCTCAACATTATTACCGATTCAAGTGATTCAGATGTTGCAAATCGTACAAGTCTTATGAATGACATCGGGGTAAGTAAGTTTAAATTTTAAGTTTATTACAAGAGACTTTATTAGTGAAGGATAGTTAGAGCTTATTCATCTAAGACAAATCATATGATTTTTAAGTAGATTACTTTAAAAAAATAACTGATTTGATTTTTAAATTGTCATGGTATCTTGATATGGTAACTACAATGTAAAATTTATAAAAATCAAAAAGTGCTTAGATTCTTAATGTTTTTTAATGATGGACTTTAGATTGTACAATGACTTGTCCATTCCATAAGAAAATCCAATTTCAACATGCTAATGTTCTTTATGTCTTATCATTGGATTGTTGGTCTGAATGACAAGTGAAACTGAAAAGTCAGCCTCTTATGTTTTATATCTATTTATTTTCAATGACATAAGTATATGATTGTTATTATTTGTTATACTTCTATATAGACAAGAATTCAAATCTTCTCTTTTGACTACCAAATAAGAACCATAAGTTGATTTGTTAGAGAACAATACATCAGACAAAAAAGATGTATTGTTCTCTAACAAATCAGCTCATGGTGCTCATTTGGTAGTCAAAAGAGCAGATTTGAAGTTCTCTTTCAATTTTGAGTAGTCATTGAAAAAATGATTTCATTGTACTATGATTTACTTTCCCCCATAATATGTTGTGCATATATTATATGAGTTCATGTGGTCAATAATTAGTCTTATTTCTCCTCTAAGTGAAATGTCTATTTGAATTAGCTTCCCAACCCCCACAAAGGTAAAGATAAGATTGCATATATTTTATTCTTTTGATACCTCGTCTATAAATTTACATTGAATATATTATTTTCAATTTTTTTTAATGTAATTATATTTATCTTTTTTTGTAGGATGAACGTGCTTAAACCAACACTACTTACAATATGATTCATGTCATACACAAGCTATCGGAGGAATATTTACTTGTTAAGTTACTAGTAGATTTAGTACTACTTTAATGATATTTCTTATATTATGTTTTTATTCATTTCGTAAATTAAGACATCCTATGTAGTAATTTTTAGTTTTAAAAATTCCAAATGTCTAGTGCATCAGTTCTATGTATTGACGTTTGATACTATTATATATAT